TCCGATCAAGTAGCCACTCTTCAATTCGATCACGAACCGAGAAACATCAAAGGAGAAATCAAATTTCCAATCCAAACAAACGCTAAAAAAAAAAAAAAAAAAAGAGAGATGAGAAAGAAGTGAGAAAGAGAGAAAGAGATTTTGTTACCTCCGACTCGGGGAAATTGTTGCTAACTATTCCAATTTCTGCTTGCTTGAGGGGAGACTGGAGTCGAGAGGGGCAGCAGAGAGTGGAGAGGGGCGAGATGAGAGTGCGAGAGGCGAGAGTGGAGACTGGAAAGGGGCTGCGGCTGCCCTAGGCTAAATACCTAAATTCCTAATATAATGCGGTTGGGCTGGCTGTAATGAGTTGAATGGGCTGAAGGCCTGAGTAATATTAATGGGCCAAACCCAAACTAAGCCTGGGAATGTAATGTGTGCGGGTTAGGTTGGGTGTTGCGGGTTGTTACAGGCTCAACCCATAATTCACCCCAAATACTTCAGACCAGAAGTATAATGGGCCGAAAATTAAAAAAAAATACTACGGGATGTTTTTTTTAAGTTGAGTTGGGACGATACGAGATGAGTTTACGGATTGTTCGGGTTGATGAACACTCATATTGCGAAGGTTTTACGAGAAAAAGTCTAACGATGCCTACGAAGATTGCTCTTCTATTTTATTTTTTCGCTGGAAAGAAAGATGGGCATTTTTTTTTTTTTTTTTTTTGGGGGCTAATCAAGATGACTAGCTGATTAAACGACAAATTATCAAAATCAGAATTACGTGTCCTTTGTAGAACTCTCTGCAAAATACAAAGAACGAAAGAAAAGACTTCCCTGTTTTGTAGGATGACGATCCTGAAATAACATGTTGTCTTGTCAAAACAAAAAACGACATGACGATAGAGCATTTTTCCCGCGTAAACGACAACTTCCACAATTGGACGGTCCCTATTGGTGGATCACAGCGAATATCCTATTAGCAAGGCCCTACACTCTATCGGACCGACTTAGTGAACGGTCCAGATTTTAATAATTCCCCCACCAAAAAATCTCTGCACCCAATCGTCCTCTCGAAGCAGACCTGCAAAAAAAAAAAAAAAAAAAAAAAAGATATATATACATACATATATAAATATATATATATACAAGTTTTGCTAAATTTTGCCCAAATTTTTACTCCTCTAATCTTCTAACCATATAATTCTCAAAAGGAAAAAAAAAAAAACCAAATCAAACCAAAGGCAGAAAACTCCCGAATTTTTTCCCACTTCTCACCCACGGAGGTCTCTCTCTCTCTCTCTCTCTAAATATGTATATATATGTATGTATGTGTGTATATATACATGTTGATTTGATCTGCAATTAGTTGTGGAACTAAATATTTGGAATCTACTACTGAGTTATCTGAGGCGGTTTTGCCTGGCCTGTTTGAAGATCTCACAGTATTTCTCTTCTTCTGTTTTAGTTTCTCTATCCAAATAGAAATGTCGAACTGAAGAAAATCTCGGCCATTTTCTGTTTCTGTGATGATTGAAATTGTATTATCTTGTTTTGCAGCCTGGAAATTGGTTCGTTTTCCTTGTTGAAGTTTGACTTTGTGTAGAATAATTTCTCTTTCCCTCCTTTTTTTGGGGGTTGCCAAGTTAAGCTTCTAGATCTTGAAGATAAGTCTGGTTGAATTTAGAAAAAAGGGTTCATTTCATGATATTTGTTAATCCCTTTTCTGGGTTTTGTGTGTTCATTGGGTTAGTGTTATTTCATTTCTCACTCACTGATTTTTGTTGATGTAATGAGTTAAAATCCTGATTTTGCCCCCAATAGACCAATCATTCTGATTTGGGAATTTTACTTCTGCAATTGTACATCTGAAGTCAACGCCAAAACCAGGTTAAATGTGGCTTTTTTTTTTTGGTAGGGAAGATCTTGCCAGATATTCACTTAGAACAATATAGTTTAGGGTAATTTTTCTTTAGCTTCTATGAGTTTTTTCTTTTATGTTGGAATTAACTGTGTCATGATATCTACACATGGGTATTTGTGATTTGTGGACTAGATATTGTTTAAGAATCTGCAATGTTCAAGCTTGTCCTTGCAGTGCTTTTTATTGGTTTCTTGATGTCAGTGGTCTGCATTTGCTCATTTTTGTCTAAGCTTCTGTCTCAAATACTAAGGTTTGATGGCATCACTGTACTGCAACTAGAGGTTTGATGATACTAGTTCTAATTCTCTAGGAATCTAGCCTTGGCACTTTCTGTTGAGATTGGGTTGTTTATATATTTCGGGACCGGCTCTAGAAGCTAGAAGTCGCCAAGGAAATGCATTACTATGTGAGTTTTTCCGGATCCAATCTTTCATTTTTTTGTCCCAAATGGTGTAACCAACTACATTATGCCCGCATTATTGTCGAACTTCAAAGCATGGAAAAGTAAATAGTAAATGCAAAAACATTTCAAATTATTTAAAATTACGTGGCATAATGTGATTGGTTAAGGACTGTTTGAGATACTAAAATTCCGTTTGAGATACTAAAATTGGATTGGGGAGCTGAGTCCAGTTTTTTTTATTATGTCAAGTATGTTACTTGATTGTTTTGGATGTTTTTGCTAGCTTAATTATTGCGTATTGTAATAACTTGTCGCATACAGTGATGTTAGTTAAATGCTCTTATTAATCAGCATTTTTTTCCCTTAAAAAGGATTAATGGTTTGTTCCATGCCCTTATTAATGAATACTTGCTCCTGCACATTAACTATGCCATTCTATTCTCCATCTTTTATCTCTGCTGACAACTATAGTTTATACTTGCATATCTTGTCAATTACAAAGCTCAAATATCATTTTTTTCATTGTAACATAAATTTTTCATTTGTGTATGATGGAGAGATACTGAGTTGACATATTTTGTATGTCTGCGTAGGGGTGAAAAGAGGATTCTAGAGTGATACAGTTATTTGAAGTCAAATTATGATATAGTTCTCTTTGTTACTTGCAGCTGCTTTGATATATGCACACTGACACGGTTTGCGTGATTGTTAATGGAGCTTAATACCATTAAAGATGCATTTGATCGCGTTACAAAGAAGCAAAAGCTATCCAGCTCTAAAGCTCAGGAAGTTCTTGAACAGATTGACCGAGAAATAGAACTGGCATTACAAAAGCTACAATCACTTGATGATCTCGAATCGGAACTTGATTATCTCTCTGTCCTTGCTGAACTCAAAACCAAGTTAAAAGACATGGCTCCGCCCAATCAACTGGAAAGCACACAGAAAGAACTGAATATGGCATTGAGCAAATATCCAAAACTTCTCGAGAAAACCTTCAATCCAGATATAACAAAGGCCTATAGGAATACTGTATTCGACACGCACACAGTTAACCAGATAATAGCCAGCCATTTCTACCGGCAGGGTCTATTTGAAATTGGTGACTGTTTTGTGGCAGAGACCCAGGAACCAGAATCTGTATGCTCAGTGAAATTGTTATTCCAAGAAATGTTTCAGATACTAGAAGCCATGAGATGTCGGAATTTACAGCCAGCATTGAACTGGGCTGCTGCCAACTCTGAGAAACTCAAACAAAATGGATCCGATCTACTGCTGAAACTTCACAGCCTGCAATTCGTGGAAATACTGCAAAAGCAAAGCCGAGAAGAAGCTCTCAAGTATGCCAGAACTTATCTCTCTTCGTTTGCTTCTGACCATATGTCTGAAATCCAAAAGCTCGTAATCTGTATCCTGTGGACTGGAAGGCTTGATCGCTCGCCATACGCACAATTATTATCTCCAACCAATTGGGACAAAGTGGCTGAGAAGCTAACAAGGCAGTTCTGCAATATTCTGGGGCAGTCCTATGAGAGTCCACTGAATGTCACAATAGCAGCTGGGGCCCAGGGATTGCCACCTCTTTTGAAGTTCATGACTGTAATGGCAGGAAAGAAGCAAGAATGGCAGTTGATGAAGCAGCTGCCGGTACCAGTTGAGCTAGACAAGGAGTTTCAGTTCCATTCCATCTTTGTATGCCCGGTGTCGAAGGAGCAATCGAACGACGAAAACCCTCCAATGTTGATGACATGTGGGCATGTGCTTTGCAAGCAGTCTATCATGAAGATGTCAAAGAACAGCACAAGATCTTTCAAGTGTCCATACTGCCCATCTGATATTGATGCATCAACTTGTAGGCAGCTGTGTTTCTGATGTATTTCCAAAGTTGTTAGTAATGTTGTTGTTTGCTGTTTCTGTTTTCTTTATTTCTTTCCTTCTTTCATGAACTGGTTTAAATTTGTAGAAACTAGTTCTGTCGTTTGCGGTTTTGGTGACAGAAGTTGGTTTACTTCTGGTGTACTTCTGATTGATCAATTGTTGTGCATAGAAATTCTTTCTTCTCGCTGGTGATGAAGACAATTCTGAAATGATACCTGGGAGACTGAGGTACTAGTAGTGGGCACAGGTAAGGGCCTTGGTACTCCCTTAACTTCCTTAAATCTCTCGCAAGATGAGTGGACCCTGTAAGGAAAAATGGGGGATTTTATAAGACAAACTAATAATTGTTTTATCTATTCATGTGTCTTAAGTTTCCTAGGTTTTTAATATGTTACTGTTAAATCCTGTTGCAATGAAAAGTATTTCTTCTAAGTGCGTTGTTTTCATATATATACGACACATTGGGAAGCGAAGGGGAATTTTGCCACTAATAGAACTGTTTTGAGTTATATATACGACACATTGAGTTATATTGTTAACAAGTGAGAGTTTAGTTCCTGGTCTCTCTCTCTTTTTTTTTTTTTTTTTTTTTTTGGCTAATTAGTTGGCGAACTTAATTTTAATGTCGGGTTGTTTAAGAGGTTTGATCCCTGACAACAAAATTAAGGATAAACTTATGAAATTTAGCAGAGTTTAAGACGTTTGATCCTTGACAATAAAATTAAGGATAAATTTATGAAATTTAGTAGAGACACGTGTTGATATTTTAAGAGCTTAAAATTTCCTAGAAGCAATCACACGAGCAAAATGCTTTAAAAGAAACCAAAACAAATTTTAATCATGTGCTGGTTTAATCGGTCTGGACTTATTAGTAGAATAAATTTTGGTGTGCGTAGAAAATGGGAGACACTATAATTTTCTAAAGTCGCTCACGACTTTGATATAAATTTGAGACTTTTGGACCGACGAAATTAAACGAGAAACTAATTGGCTTGGTTTAGAGTTTAGTTTAATTTGATTTGGTCAATTTTTACGATTTGTCGATTATTTTGAACACGTGTATATGACTGTTACTTGAGGAAATTAAGGTTTCTGATTTGAATTTTTAATTCGAGATAAGATGTGATTTTATGTGAAAATTTTTAATTGTAGTAAAAAAATTAGATGTGATTTTTTGTGAGAATTTTTAACTATAGTTAAACTGGAATTGAAAACTTAAATCGATGAAATGAAAAAGGCATAGATTTTTTTTCCCCATTTTTTATGTGTGACATTTATACCTTAACATTTCACTCGTGTTAAATGCTACCCCTTTTTTCCCACTGAAGAGCTGGTTTTGACAATAATAAAAAGACCTCAATGTCCTTCACATTTTCAAATTTTTAGTTTTTTTCTTTAATCTTTTTCTTTTTCTTATTTCTTTTAAGGGTCTTTAGGTTGTTATTAATCAAAATCATTAACTAAAAACGATAAGAATTGTGCATAATCTGAAGGAATAAATTTGATACATTATACACCGGTCTTGATTGTTACCTCTCACTTTTAATTAATATTTTTTTTACTAATATAATTATTTAACTAAAAAAGATATTAATAAAGAGTAATGAGTAAAATTTCACAAATGTATTTCATTTAAAAAAATAAATAAATATAAAACTGTCCCACATAATGGGTATAATGGGCTACTTGAAGTTTGGGTGTCGGTGGTCTTTGGATTGTATTAACAAATTCTCTGCATGTTTTGAATCCAAAGGCCTATAAACAAGCTTGGCTAAGTGTTACCACCTTTTTTTCTTTTTTTTTTTTGTTTTTTTTTTTTGAAAGGGGTTACTACCCTTTATCCCTATGGAAGGTAGTACAAACATTTGTTTTTTGCCTTCATTTGTAATTTCACAATTCTATTTCCTTACATTTTTACCACCACATTTCCATTGTTTACCCTTTCAGTAGGCTTTAGGCATTTGTAAGTATAGCCTATAGGATCTCTTAACAATGTCACGCACTAAGGGCACTTGGCTACCCCAACAGATGCATATAATCATAACTTGTTGGTAATGTATTGTCTATCTCCGGATTATATTAGATTTAGAAGGGAATTAAGGATGAGCACTTTATTATTGGGATACCAAAAATGAATGTTATAAGAACAAAATGCATGATTCTTCTTTAAAGAAGCACATTGGAAAAGTAGCAATAAAAAAGGCAAGCACTCATAAGAAGCACCAAAAGGGCCTTTAAAAGTGTGCGCAATTTAAGGAAAATAAGCAGTAGTCCCCAAAAGTGTACTAAAAGAGCTCCTGATCACAACAACTATGGAAGAGTCACAGCCAAAACCTTTTTCAAGCTCAAGTGAATGTCACCACACTTTTATCTCCAAATTTTTTTTTTTTTAGGCTTGAAAAGGCCTTCACGTCTTTTGTTTTCCTTATCCTTTACAAACGTCTAAGTAAAGTCTGCTAACTTAAAGATACAACAGAAAAAAGAGGACTCTCATGGGTAGATGGAAGAAACCAAGTGGTCCACGTCTCTTATAACCATGTGATTAGTGCATAGTTTCTCCATTTTTTTTTATTATTATTTTTTGGAAGGAAACACAAAAAAATTTTGGGTTCACTTGTAGAATTAGAAGACGTTTGGTTCATGGATTAAAATCATGAGATTAGAACTATTTTCGATTTACATGTATTTTTTGTGAGAGAAAACATTGTAACGAACCACGAATCATAATTCGAATCGGGGTATAAATCCTCCAACCAAACAACTCCTTAATATAGGCATATCAAAAACTTAGTGGAGCAATTCAACCATGAGCTTATGGATTCAATCTCCACAGTTCAATATATTAATGAGGGTGTATTTTGAAAATAGAAGGCAATATTGTTTAGACAAACCAAGAAAGGAAAAAAAAAAGGATGTTTTGCATGATTGAATTGGGGCCAGGAAGAATTGCACATCAATTCACAAACTTAAAAATATGACATTGAGTTGTTGACAAGTTGGAGGTCATATTGTAATGTTGATCAACTTAGAATAAAGTATGAAATCCTATTCCTAACTAATGGATAGCTACATGGGATGTTTTCTTTCTCTATTTTTTTTTATTATTTTTATTATTTTTCTTTTTTATCTTTTGTTTTTTTTTCAAAAAGAAATTGTTGAATACCTATGTCTTTTTCTGCATCTGAGGGTACAAAACAAACATGACAATTGACAAAGGCCTGCCCCTCCCAACAAAGGAAAACACCATGAGCAAAAGGAAAAGGAAAAGATCTCTATCTATATTCTATAAACCAAAATGTTCATGCATCCTCTTTGACACAATTATCACCCCCTCCGTTTCATCATGACAATTGTGAGAAACTCATGTATAAAAAATCAATCTTATCTTGTAGAATTATGACACAAGGGGAAAATGTATCGTCGGATTCCACACACACACACACAAGCACATGATTGCTTAGCCATATATCGTAGAAAAATGGTAGCATCAGTCTTTCTGACATTCTCTGCATTTAATATTTAACACGTAAACTCTACTGTTTTTATTTTTTATTTAAATAATAATATATTACGTCAGTGGAGTCCACATGTCAAACTATAAATGCAGAGAGTGACAGAAAAGTGATGCTAATATTTTTCTATATTAAATATTTTAACCTCTTGTTTTGGCACCGACAATTGTAAAATCTCACAAGTGGCTGACACATGAGACGCACAAAATAGCTAAAAAAAAAGAATAATAATGGTATTAACAAGCAGGAGAACAAGATTAATTTGTACCTTTTTTAAAAAAATAAAAAAAAAGATTAGTTTGTACTTTTCAAACTTAAACTAACTGTGATTTGGAGTGGACAAACCCCTTAAACCGATAACCCTTTGAACTAGGCAACAACAAAGAGAGATATTTTTTAAATAAGCATTTGGCTCTATCCTGCGTCTCTATTACAATCAAAAACCCCACTTTGTCTTCACACCCACCTGAAAAAATTAACAGCTCATACTAACATACAAAAGTCTAGCAATAATCATCTCCTCTTTCTTGAGCTAAATTCCATCATATTAAACATATTGATTAGACCCAACAACCACATAACAAAAACATAATATATAATTGCGATTTTTTTTTTTAAAAAAAAGCCAGAAAGAAACAAATGTACCTCTCTCATTCCTTCTTCTCTTATCTTTTTCTTCCTATGTTTGCATTTCCTATCTATTAATAAATAACTTTGTTTGGTTCTTGGGAAAAGAAAAGAAAAGAAAAGAAAATTAAAAATTGGGTAAAGAGACAAATTAAAATGAGAACCATACTAATCCTCAATCAGTTCATGTAAGTGTAACCTTACCCCACCACTTCTACTCTCACTATCCGTTCCTTTCCACTGCAGAAAAGGGCCTAGACGTCGGGTTTCGATTGTCACTATTTTGGGCCTGGGCCCGCTAACTCTAACTCCAATCATTGTTTTTTTTTTAATTTTTAGATGACGTTTAGTTGGAGGATTCAAACGTGAGATTCGAATCATTTTTAATTTACGTAAATTTTTTATAAGAGAAAATACTATAACGAATCATGAATCATAATTCGAATAGGAAATGAATCCATCTACCAAACATCCTCTTAATTTATTTCTTCAATATATTCAAATATATTTTGGGGAGTATTACAAAATATTTGAAGAAAATAAAAAATAACAAAAATCTAAAATCTGGCGTTCTCAAAGCCGTGCAAGTCGCTAACTCTGTTCATCGACTTCCTCATGATAGCCACTTTAGCCAATCTCTCGGCGGCTCGCCAAGCCGAAGTCGGCGTGAGCGGCTCGGGCTTCTCGTCCGTCCGATTGGTCGTTTTCTGCCTTTGATTCTGCAGCTGGTGATGCCTGAGCCGGTTCAGCTCAGAGATCTCGGCTTCCAAGCCGCGCAAGTACTCGTCGGCTGAAGCCGAGCTGGATTGGAGGAGCAAACCGCGAGCAGAGGAGAGCAGGTGGTGCGCGCCAGAGAGGTCGCCGTGCTCGGCGAGCCGGCGAGACTCAGCGACGGCTCGCGTAGCGACGTGGAGGTTCCTGAGCCGTTCGATGTTTGGAGTGGAAGATCGGACGGCCTTGGGGCGGGGAACGAGGAGGGCTTGCTCTCTTGAGTAGACGAGCTCCATCGAAGGCGGGTCTCGGTGCGACGACCGTACGGTAAGAACGTGGTGGGGTCCAGCGGAAGACGAGGGGACTTTGAGCTCCAACAGCAATTCTCTCTCCTCCTCCGCGTAGAGATCGCCCAACCGGACCGAACCGTACCCCAGCGCCGCCGGCCGGCTCGTAAGAGAGTAAGCGGCGGCGATCTCCGCCGGCGATGAGCCGGAGGAGAAACCTAGCTGGAGACGGAGATCCTGAACAACGACGCTCAGCAAGCCACCGACGCACTTGGCGAGCGAGTCGTCGGACGACGGTTCGCCAATGCCGACGGCGTGGACGGGAATGTCAAGGTGAGAGAAGCGCGTGGAGGACACGGTCGGTGAGGAGGATCGCTTCTGGTTGTTGGCGTTAACGGCGGACTCCGAAAGGAGAATTATGGTGGCCACGGGATTCTTCTCTCGGCGATCTTCCAGAACCTTCGCGGCTTTCTTAATCGCATCTCCGACGGACATTCCCTGGCCAGCGACCGCACCGAGCGCGTCGACGATCCGCCGAGCGGATCGCTTCCCCGTGGATGTCATCCTCCGGAGCGGCAAAAGCCTCTTGGAGGCGGAGGAGAAGGCGACGATCGACAAACGGTCCGACGAGGCGAGCGAGGAGATCACTAGCCTCATGGCGCGCTTCAGCATTTGAATCTTTGCACCGCTCATGGCCGCTCCGACGTCCACAACCGTCACCAGATCGATCGGAGCTCGCCGCGCTGAGTTAAGCAGTGACGACGTCGTTCCGCCTATCGCCGGAGCCTTGACTTTCAAGACCACAGCATAGGTCTCGTAGCTCCGACCTACAGCCACAATTGCCGCCTCCGGCAGAAGACTAACATCAACGTTCTTCAATCGAGGAGTACTTGGCGCGTTAACAAAGAAGCCTTGGAACTCGGCGACGGCGCTGTTTTCGTCGTCTCCGACTTCGCTCTCGTCTGTTTCAGGTATCGGATTGAATCTTGCGCCGGAAGTCGGAGACATCAACGGCTCGTCATCGTCGTAAACTCTCAAACACTTGTTAGTCTTCACGTCTTTGAGCTTCGAAGCTTCGGTTTTGGTGGTGGTGTGGCTATGGTGGATCGATAACAGAGGAAGTTCTTTCCATCCGGTGCTGCAAACCGGACAAACAAGGATTTGATTCTTCTTGACATGAGCTGCAACGCAAGGGAAGTGAAAGGAATGCGAACATTCAGCCGTGAAAATCGCCGTTCCTTGCCCTGCTTTCACGCTCTGTAAGCAGATTCCACACCTAGTCTGTATCATTAAAAAAAAAACGTCATTTATTACTTTCACTGTGCAAAACTCGTGAGAACAACGTTGAAAAATAGCAAAAAGAAACTTACTTTGGATAGACGTAAGGTGGATTTGAGGAAGGAGAAGCTGGAGGGAGATTTGGGAGATGAAGGATTGGAGAGGTTGAATAATCTGGGGCTATTTGTGTTGTTCTTTTTGGGGTTTGAAGAGATTTTGCATTGGAGTTTCGGGCTATTGGGAACTGAGGAAGTTGGTGTTGTTGTTGTTGTGGTGGTGTTTGTACGGCAGCGGAGGCTGGACACGGGCTGAGACTGTAAACGTGGGGTTGATGGGTTTGAGAAGAAACCAAATTTTGAGCTGATTTTGGGGCTCCTATTGGTGGTGATGCCGTCGTAATTTTCTTGTTGGTCTTGTTGTTGTTGAGGATGTTTGTGTGTAGAGATTTTCGGCTGTCTGTCTTTGGGAATGGAAGTGCAAAAGGCCCTTCTCCAACCAGTCACCATTGTCTCTCACAATCTTTGGGAATCTCTCTCTTGTTTTGTCTTTAGAATATTTAGATTAGATGTGTTGAAGAAGTCTAATTGGTGGTTGTAGATGTAGTGGTAGAGGGAGATGAAATGGGAAGAAGAACATGGAAAAGGGAAAAATGAGGGGGGCAAAAAGCGTGTGGATTGGGGGATTATATGAAGAGAGACCAGAAGAGGCTATTTGATCTTTCTCATCGTGCCATTATTTCCCATGTTTCTATTTTTCTTCTGTTTGTTTCCTCTGTCGTTTCTTCGCCTTCTCTCTTTTGTCTTTCGAAACGGCCCCTCCTCACTGCAAATGAAAAGCCATCACTGCTTGCTGCCAAAACTCAATACCTTCTCTCTCTCTCTCTCTCTCTCTCTCCTTCTCTCTTTTGGCTCTGTATGTGTGATATGAGATCTCTGCAAAATGCAAATAGAGAAATATAGATAAGAGAAAGTGGAAAAGGCACTATTAAAAAAATAAAAAAAAATAAAAAAAATGAAAGTTGCTTTCTTTTCACAATGATATGTAAAAAGTTGGGGTGTTGGGATTAACATTTTGGGGTGGTGACTGGCAGGTGGAGGTTGGCACCTACTGTAACAAGTCAACGGGGGACGGCTCTTGGTATCACTGTCCCATTCCCACGTTATGGTCACCGACCCTTTCTCTCTCTCTCTCTCTCTCTCTCTCTCTCTCTCTCTCTCTCTCTCTGCATAGAGATCTCAAAAATTTCTCTCAAACTTGCCCTTGTTTGATTCACCCTTTAGCCTTACTCTTCCCAAACTTACCTTTTCCTCACAAAACAGATTGGCCTTATAATTTAATTTCTATTTTTATTTTTTATTTTTTTATTAATTTTTAGTTTAATCTTTTGACTTGTATGCATGAATTGCTACAGACAAAGAGTGGTGGTTTCAATGCGTGTGGTGCAGGGTTCTAATCTGACCCAAAACTGTGATTGAGCCTTCTGATCCTGTCCGTTCATGGTGGGGTCCATTTCGTAGTGACAAAAAAGGGGAATTTAATGGGTTTTTGGGATAATGGCTTGTTAATGGCCTATTACTATATTTTGCCTGTTTGGGCACTTGTTGGCGATTCTTTAACTATAACTTTTCTCATTATGCCTTTTATTATTGGTGTTCATTTATTACGTGTTGTAACAGCCATTTTGATACACCGATCCCAAGAAAATCCAGAAATCGGTGTGATGAAACAGAGAAGCTACAGCAAACAGCTAACCAACAATCCGAGTACTAGTGGATAGGTATTAGGTTACAGGGTTTAGTTCCTTCTCTCTCACTCTTTACCACTTGTTATTTTACAAAGTACTTCTCCAAAAATAAAAAAATAAAAAAAATAAATGGCATCTTTAAAGTGAAAAATAGGTTTAAATGAGAAAAACAAAAAAATGGATTTCAATTGGTCAAACCAACCAAACTGACTTTCAACACCTGAGCGGGTAGGACGCATCAAACGAATATGTGAATATTCAGAATTTGTATGGTGATTTTTTTTTTTTTAAATATTAGTGTTTTCTGTTTATTAATTATTAAATTTGTATTGTTTTTTAATTTAATTTAATTTTTAATTAGATTTAATATAAATGTGACGGTTGATAAGTAGAGAATACTGATGTTCTTAAAAAAACACCAGAAAAAGTCTCTTCTTTTTTTAGTAAAAAATTTTTTTAATAAAAAAGTCTAAGTCCCGTTTTATTTCCTGAGTTCGAATTATGCGGTTTATACATTTGGGTTGAGTTTTGAACAGGAAATTGAGTTAAGATCTTAAAAATTTCTCGTTTAATTCGTTGATTCGAGTTGAGATGTGATTTTATGTGATAGCTTTTTACTGTAGTAAAAAAGTTAGATGTGACTATTTCTGAGAGTTTTTTGCTATAGTAAAACTCAAATTCTAAACTTGAATCGGTGAAATGAACGAGGTCTTAAAAGTCGTAAAATTGAGTTTAACCTTATATTCAAATGAACCCTAAACTCAAATTCAAGTTCAAGGTGTTCAAGGTGTTATACGACTAAATCAAAGTTTGAATCAAAAGTTGGTGTAAGCTCATCTAAATCAAACAAGCACGAAACCGTTAATATATTACATTTCCTAATTTTATTTTTCAATTTTATCCACTTTGAAAAATTTATTGTCTTTCTTTATGACGTTAGGTTTTTTTTCTTTTTTTTCCCTTCTCTTCATAGGCACTCATTTGATAAATAGACTATAAGGATCTTGACTAATCGTTTAGTAGTGTTTTTGGGCAAGAAACTAGAAAGTCTCATGTATATTGTGACCTTATTGCATGTGAATATGATTCAAAATTTGACTGGTGAAATTTTTTAAAATATATATATATATATATATATTGACTTGTGTAAATTTTCAACCGAAAGAGATGCCCACAAAAAAGAGTCTATTGCTAGCAGACCTCAAAAATGCTACTCTAGACTAGGATGATATCGTTGCATCATTGATAAATATTTACCTAACCTCACGTGTAAATAAGGCCTAATTGGAACCGTTAGGGACTCTTTTTTTTCCCCCTATTTTAAGAACATAATTGGAACTGATGGCCTAATTTGAATTTATGAGTATGACTTATCTATTTATGCCGTTGATGGCTATAAAATTATTTTCTTAAAGGGGACCCCAATTAATTATAAGCAGAGTTAAGAGGAAGAAATCTTTGACATTATGAAAGGAGAAAACCAATTGAATAAGCAAGAAACGTAAGGAAAATAAACTTAAGCGTGGTGGGATCACAAATGTTATCATTTCTTTTTCTTTCTTTTTTTCCTTTTGGAATAAATTGATGATATCCTTAAATGAAAGGATGCATTGTTTGACTGTTATTATGAATTTGGAAATCCATGGGCAGTGCACATGTTAGAATATCATTTCTTATATAAATGTAACAAGAAAGGTGATTGGATCATAGCAACTTGAAAAATAGATATATATATATATATATAATCATCCCGAGGGGGAAAAAAAAAGAAGTAGATGCTTGGATAGATAATGATTGCCTTTATGTCTGGGCCATTAAGCGTAACGTTCACAAGGAATAGTGATATATGCCCCTCTAGATCTTTCTTTTGTTTATTTATTTATTTATTTTTGAATGAATTGTTTATTTATTTATTGTTGTTCTTTTTTTAGATAATTTATTGTTGTTATTTTTTTAAATAATTTGTTTTTTTCTTTTTTGTAAGTTGTTTCTTTTTTATTAATTGCTTGTTGCTAGTTGTTAGCAATGGAAAATGGAGATTGAGCTTCATGTGAATATCCATAGACAATTTCTCAACATTTATTTTGTTTCTTGGAATTTATTATCTTGTTAGATAAGCGTGATGCAAAATTAGCCTATACTCTCAATAGTCCTTTTCAAAAGAAGAAAAGGAAGAAAAGTCAACAGTGATTTCAGATACTTAAAGTGGAAAGTCGCCGTTATTATTAACACCCTTTACCTTAAATGTTGGAACAGAGACAAAGTAGCTGCATCCTTTTTTAGGAGTTAAAAACCATACTCAATTACACTGACGGTAAAAGGAGTAACTAAGTGGATATTTATTTGCTGTATTTATTTTTAATTTAAAATTATGATTTATAATTTTTTATAATATTTTTTTTATAAAAATATACGTAAAATAAGAATAATTTTAAATTATAATTCTGAATATATGAGCTAAATATTCATTAAATTTTGAGTTAGTTGATATACTTTTTCATAATTTTGCTGTTGTATTGATGTTCATTAATTATTTGATTATAAAGAAAAAATTATTTTTTTTTCTTGAATACTTTTAAAATTACTTCTTATAATGAATTATGAACTTAAATCGAAGGCTTTGTGTGTTTATTTTTCAAACATAAATACACAACGTAAAGAAGGAGCGTTTTTGTTAGGGTGAGAAGTCTATATCGGTGCAAAAAGTTTTTAAGCATTAAATTTTAATTTTTTTATTAAATCCCTTTAAAATATTATATTGTAAGAATTTTGTGGAGTCTGAAAAAATAACCACTCAGTAATATATTGTTTTAAAGTTTAAGTGCTAATTAGATTTTATTAGTTTTGCATATTTTTCTATTTTATTATGTGCTTTTTACTAAATTTATTTGGCAATTGACAGTTTTAACCCTAATTATCCGTTGCTCTTAACGGAGAACGTTAAGCTAACGGTTCGCCGTTTCTATTGGGAATAGCTCACAAGGCACTTATTGGTCAACTATCTTGGAACTCGACCATACGGTCATCATTAACTTCTCGCAGTAAAAAATTCTAATCAGTGTCACAATAATTGAAGTTTCAACCTCGTTAACTGAGTTAAAATATCGGGAGAGGAGAGAAATAATATATTTATAGTAAGGTATCTAATAAATTATAATATATTTTTTAAAATAAATATATTATAGTATAATTTAATATTTTAAATTTTAAACATCATTAAAAAAAATTTAAAATACTTTATTTTTTTCCATCTATTTCCTCATATGACCAGCGGCCGTTACGGAAATTAATAAATATTTTATTTATTGGTAAATATCATATTAATTAATAAATATTATATTTATCATATGTTTAAAAAAATTTGATTAACGACTTCGGCGACAAGTAAATACTGTCTTCATCGATAAATATTGAATTTATTGATAAAAATCGTATTTACCATATTTTTTTAAAAATCTTGTGAACGACTCTCGACGACGGGTAAATAATTATTGATAAATATCATATTTACCATATGTATTTAAAAATTCAGAGACCGGCTCTGAGACAAAAAAATATCATATTTACTAATAAATATCATATTTATCTTATTATCCAAAAATTTATGACTGACTCTGGCGACTGATAAATACTATATTTATCGATAAATACCTTATTTTTCATATTTTTCTAAAAATCTACGACGTAAATATCGTATTTATCGGATTCAAACTTATTCAGTAAATTATTTATTGGTAAATATAGTATTTATTAGTAAATATTATATTTATGAGATTCACAAAAATCACATATCTTAGATTTACACCCCCAAAAAAAAAAAATCCACCAAAACCGCATATCTCAGAAACGGCAAAAATCACACAAAAAAAAAAAAAAAAAGAATTCTAAACTCATAACTCAGATATCACAAAAATAAAAGAACTTTAAGAACACAAGTATAAGTGCACAATACAGAAAGAAAGGATAACAACAAATCCGCTACCTATGGTCCATAAACTAACACGTAAACCTCAATTTTTTTTTTCTTTTTTGAAAAGAAACAAAATTTCATTGAAAATGATGAAGTACAAAGAAATATCAACAATGATGAAGGGAAGTCCTGCAAGGCTCCAACTAAAACAAAAGGATAAAAGACTACATAAGAAGATTCCACTCCCTAACCAAATATGGCATATTGAAATTACAAACAAGCATTAGATCGGCAAATCTCCTGCAAAAACAACAAACAATCCA